TCACTAAACCAGAACCTGCAATGTTAGTGCAAACGTGCAGTGCGTAGAACATTCAATTTGTGTGGTTACTGCAGGTGTGCACACCCTGGATGCTTCGCATATTTCAGACGAACTGCCCACATTGCTTGACTGTGAGTTTCTGCCAAAAACTCTACTAAGCGAGGGGGCGCTCATGAGCCTTATATTCAAAAATGTGGACAGTTCGTCCAATAATAGGCGGAGCCCAATTGGCATCCAGTTGTGTATAAACGAGAGGAAAACTATCTTGGAAATCACATCTGATCACGTACACAAGTGAGACGCGAGCATATCTCACATCAAACAGTAGCTTTTACGAAAAGTTTGGACGGGTTCTTTAGAAAAGAGAACGCCTAACATGCTGAGCATTCATCTAGTTGACAAACTTGTGAAAGTAACTGCTCACCTTCCTGAATTGCGTTCGTGTACAGATAGTTTGGCTCGGCTTCTGAAAAATTTCTATCATCACAGCTGATAAACGGTTGACTCCGAAAACTTAAAGTAAGTATTCAAAGAAAAGGAATATTGGCGTCTATTGCAGATTTACTAAAAATTGGTCGTCAAAAATGTCTACTTAGCAAATTTTGTTTTATTTTTGCTACGTTCCGCTCGATTATGTATTTCTTCGCCGTTGTTCAACAGACTTCTTGGGGCGTTCTGTGTGTCAGTTTACCAAGGTGATGAACCTACTGGCAACCACCAGGATGTAGGTTGTAAGCTGTTTTTCATTGCAAGCAGTAAGCCCCACTGATTCTCGAAGCTCTTACTCTTGCACAAGTGAGCTTGCAATGTTGCCAACCACAGCCCTTCCACAGTGAATATCTACACCATTCCCCACGCTGTAGTAGGTACCATGGAACGCACTTGCATGTTCAGATCGAGAATCGGATCCAAGATAAAAAACCCCCGTCTGAAGCAACAAACCAACAATCGCTGTTTATCAGATTAACTGCTGCGTTTGGGAGCAAAAAACCCTGCCTTGTACTTTGTCGGTCCGCACATCATTGTATAGGCTACATACGTATATCACCACGATTCCAAAAGGAAATCAAGTGTGGGACGCACAGCCTGAGCGGGATTGTTCAACACACGGCAAACTTGAGACTCATTCTTTCTTTGTGGTCAACCTTCCATGTGGACTTTTTTGGTGGAGATCTGTTTTACGGATGAATTCTATTCCAATGTGACTTCACTTCCGATAAAAACAATAATCTTTCTTAAATACTAATTGTTCGTGCTGTGAAAGCTGAAAAAATCTTATAAAAAATAATCATGTGGGTAGAAAACTGTATAAAGCGGTGAGGACAAACCTTCGAGGTCGATGTCGGCGAAGTGTATACCATTATCATTCCGAGCGGTACACCGGTAACTTCCGTAATGATGTTTTTCGACACGTCGAATTTCGAGAACGTGAACACTGTGATATTGGCCAGAGACAGTTTGAGACTGAAATCACATCATACTTTGAACGAAACCTCCTCTGATTGAGCAAAAGCCCAAGTAATAAATGGTTATCGACTTTGTAGTTGAGAGAATCAATTTTATTTCAGGGATAAACATAGGAAAAGGTATCGTTGCGTCAGGTGTATCCAATAATAATCTGTGGCATGATAAGTTTCTGGCATTAACAAAGATTTGAGTTACAGCTGGATCCCTGGGATGGCGCCAGAAAGAATACCACTCCTACTTTATTACCTGTATAGGTTTCCATTGTAAACAAAACTTTTCTTCTAACCCTCCCTAATGAGCCCTTTACTATCACACCTCCCTGAGGGAATCCATATCACGTGGCATATCAAAAGAAATGTTTCGAATATTTAAAATGCACTAGACTCTTAATGAGAGATGCTAAATAGGCGACTTTCATGCTTCATTTGGGACAATTACATATTCATTATTAAGCAATTAATCATTGAACCTACCGTAGCATAGTTATCCGAATCAAAGATTTGTTGTCCTTCTTTGTCCCACGTGACATCGGGTCTCGGCCATGATTCAGCTGTACAGACAAGACGGGCCAAACCACCCACGGGAACACGGACTGATGCCGACTTGGCTTGGATCAGTGGAGCGACTGAAAAACGGACTTCGAAGTTTTGAAGTTTCTTGAAGTTTCCTCCTAATGTAAAACGGTTTAATATGGGATGGATGAGGAAATACCCTAGGTTTCGTCTGAGCTTCTTCCTTTTCAGAATATAGATCGAATTAAAGTGTCTGGCATCCGCCATTTCACTAGCAGCAAAGCAGGTGTCTTATCGTAACTTATCAAAACTTCGCAAGTGCTCCTGAGCAGCAATACGTGGCTTCCCAATAGGTTCGACTCTTGAGGGCGTTTCGGTTTTCAGTTTTCTACTAGCTGACCATAGTAAGGTTCTCAATAACCTTATAATTTGACTTCTGGGAAGTATCTCTCCACTTTTTGAGGGTCCCTAGGAGTTCACCAATTGAAATTCAGCGAAGAAAACGACATGGCCAGCGACCCACAAACATGCGATCGTCAAAATTGAGTTTGTGCCGCTCGTCGTCGGCATATTCACTTGGACAATAAGTGGAGCCGCCGAAGGGCGTCTGTCCGTCCGGGCAACGTCACTACGAGCTGAACACGCCACGTTTTAAGACGACTCCACGACTGATCGAGTTATAGCTGGCGATGATTCGCTCCATATTCATAATAGCCTCTCTAGAAAGGAACAACCGAAAGAACGATTTTCTTAGGAGTTCCCAATTAAGACGACCTCATCTGATACTGAGGGGTACGAACCGATCAAACGGTACAACCTCTGATGGAACTTTTGTTATCGTGTGTTCTTGAATTTTAAAACACCTTGTACCAAGTAGGAAAGCTCACCATTGCTCGTGACTCAGGTACAGATCAATCAAGCCAAGCCTACCTCGCTCTAGAGGCGGCTTCGCAAAAGTTGTTTGAGAGCATGAGAGGCACTGAGATAGGTAATTCTTTACACTTTACTAACACTAAATCTTTACTTAGAAATTCAAGAACAGGTAGTTTACAGTGAAATAAATGACAAGTAGTTCCATTTTCCACGAATCTGGTTGAGAGTCAAAGGTGTGGCGTCCGGGAAATTTGGCAAACTTTACTTTGATACCATTGTTGCAACTCACATGTGACGAGTAGTTTTACGGTCCATGTTTCGTCGGGTGGAATTCCATTACTGGCAACACAAACGTATTCGCTCATATGTTTCCGATTGACTTTGGTCAGATGGAGGCTTGGACCATGAAAAACGCTAGCTGAAAAAGACAGTAATTAGCAAACCCTTGCAACACACTTATATGAACACGGTACACTCCGAAATATCGAGACAATTTCGTCTTGGAATCATATTCAGGAAACCACTTTTAGTAAAATTGAATTTGAAATTTAGGATGTGTTCCAGAGCAGTTGTGCTGTTATGCCCCTTTCGTCTTCGTCATCGCCTCAGCTACCAGTGGATGATCGGACCTGCCGTACCCTCGACCGAGAACAGTATCCTTCTTACCTTTTAACGGCTCCCCACTTTCACTTAAGTTTCCTTTCATAGATGATTAAGCGCAAGCATATCGTTCAAACGCCTAGATATCCTTTTTTTGCTTTTGTTTTGTTTACATGCTCATATTTGTTACTATCAGCCATCAAAATAATTCAGTTTCACGATGATCCTCTCAGCGATTATTCAGTCACTGCTTTTCACTGCCAAAGATTTTTGCAAGAAAATATTCATGAGCACTGGTTTATATAACACGGATCCATCAAATGCTTCAAAAGCTCAGAAGAACTGCCGCTGATTGACTCGAACTGAAAGCTATGGGTCTGTGACCAACTCAAGAGGTTCTTCAAGGAATCTCGCGCTTCAATAAGGGAAAGACCGCTCATAACGCAAGAGCGATGCAGAACGATGAAGGACCAACTCCCATTCCATCAGTTCCGACGAGTGGTATCACATGTTCCCAGATTCGAATCCTCCAAAAAGTGAGGCGAACTCAAAGCGTCAAACTTGCTTGCAACAGTCGATATGTTCAAAAAGATTTCAAGGCCTATCTTGATGTCATCCGAAGAATTTTCGAGATAGTGTCTATGTTTTATACGTAAACAATAGTTTCACCTAGGTTACTAAAAATGACCTACAAAAGTTCGGTTGGAAGCCGCATGAGAAACCATTTGCCTATGGTCTTTTTAAACCCAGTTTAGTTCATAAAGAAACATGATCGTAAAAGAGAACATTCATGGCCACACGATTCCTTACTGGGAGGTTTATTATGACCTGTTCCTTGGCACTTCTGCGCAGTGAATTCGAAAAATCGTTTCCCAAGTGTAGAGCTTGTTTTGAGCACTAATAGATTATAAGCTATTGGTGTGAACCTAGTAGGCAGCTTAAAAATGTGCCATGAGCTTGGCGTCAAATGGAAATGCTGAGCGGAACATATTGTCACCCATTGCTGCCACTCAAGGATCGAATCAGAATTTTATTTCTACATAAGTCTGCTATCAACAGGGCTGAAGGCATTCAAGGAAATCTTGACAGAGAGAGGAGATGAAATTTGTCTGTCGAAAGAGAAGGAGACTTCCTCCAGAATACTACTTCTAAGAAGATTTTTCTGGTGTCCAAAAAAAAAGAAACTAGAGAGAAGCAGGGGCATGGATGGAAAAGGAGGGAGAACGGACCAGGTTTGAGTTATGAGGTAAGGGAGCAGGCAAATGGGTTGAGTGATTGAGTTAGTTTCCCGAGTTTCTATTTTATTTAGGTGTCACGACGAGCAGGCCTACCTTTCCTGCATACTCCCTTTTTTGATAACTCAGCTCTGATCTCGAGGTTCCGTCCCCACTAGTCTTCAAGCCCGAGCGTAAACGCGCTAATGTTATTTTTACGTAACGGCAATCGGTGTCACGGATTAGAAAGGGCTGACCTCTTGGACCTCTTGACTGAGATGTCTCTAATTGACCATCTCCTCAGAGTAACATATGGCCGAGGGATTGCCGTTACCGCGTACCAGATTGGATGTCCTCCCAAACAGAAACGCTAGCTTAACTACAATGTTCTTAAGTGACAGATGTTAACTAAGTGATAAGCAACCGTGCGCCGCTTGCCAATTTGGATGGCTTTTTCGGGACTCCCCGCTTAATCCCATGCATGCCTTGAGTGCTCCCAATCGAGTGGTGACGCCGGAGGCCATGGAATTTGAGATGTCCGATGCTCGACGAACATGCGTAAGCGGATCAAGTCACGGGCCGACAAATGGCACCCTGAGAAAGTCATGACCTCCGCCGAATATAGCAGATAGCACTCACTACGATGTGAGAAATTGTCAGAGACAACGGCATTCATTTACTGCCAAAGAAAATACATGATGAGTACTTACAATGGGATAAGAAGGGTGAATAGCCCGCTGATGGAGCTTCAATATTGGTAGTTCGGCTAGAGGGTATGGAAATCGCCCCAAAAAACAAAAGGCATACATTGTAGCACTTGGAACGCTATTTTGAGCTCGATGAAAACCCAAGCAATTAGAAATTCGCAAGATTTCTCCCTTTAGACAACTTCATTATCTAAACGGCGTTACTAACGTTGCAAGCAGGGAAACCTAAGAACCTTTCTCATACCACACTTGCGGGATTTTTGCCATCATGGGGTAGTGATTAGGCGTCTATTTTCTGAAATCAGAGCCATATATTATGATTTTCGATTTTACAATAACGTCCCTATTGAAACTGTTGCAGCCAGTCCTCGAATTCGAGTTGCATATAATCACTAGTAAGTTGTTTATGCTCATTGGATCTCACCTGGCCCAACCATCTTTGGGAATAGATAGGGGAAAAACAAAAACCTGCAGTTTTCTCAGGCTGCGAAAACCCTGGCTCAAAACATAATCCTACCTTTACCGCAATGGAACACTGCGAAGCGATTCCTCGTTAGCATTGATTCATGCATAATTGATATTTGAGGATACTGTAAAGTTAGTGTTTATCCATTCTGTCACACTACGCATACTCCAAATTCATAAATCTGACTGAATCCTATCTAATACAACCAAGCCCAACAACACAACAATTTGAGCCTTCTTTTAGGCAGCAGTTTAGTTTGTGAAAGTGAAAGCACTTAATAGTAGAGGAATTAGCTCTGATACTTCAAGAGCGAGTAAACATCCAAACCCAATTGCGAATCAGAGTGGAAAACGAACGCCGGGCGCAACCCGAAGTGGGTTAGAATTACTTGTATGATTTATTTAGTAAGTAGATTCTCAACTATGTCAGTGTTCAGGTCCCTAACAGAAACCCTGAAAATCATTACATGGATGAAGTCATATGTATGCCCATGAAATCTGATACCGGTCATAACTACCCCGGTCAGCTCCGGATGGCCAGGCTCAGCGAGGCTCACCTCCAAATCCGGTGGCTCCGTTGTATCGGATGATTTGTTTGTCCTGACGACGCCAGACCACAGTGGGCATTGGATTCCCTTCCGCTTTACACGTCAACGTCACATTATGGCCTTCCCGGACCTCGACAGCCGACGGAGTACCGCGTGATACCGCCGGTGGCACTGAAACGGAAAACTTCACAGGACAAAAGGAATAAAAATTTTGGTGGAAAAAGTGGACCACCATAATTCAAAGCGCTCTTTCATTGAAAGACGCTGATGGATCCAAAAAATTAAAAATTATCCCTACAATTTCAAGGCAAAGCTAGGAAATTTGAGTTTGGGTTTCCATTTTTTTACGTTTACACTTCGACTCTCTCGCGCGAGAGCTGATAGAAAGCAGGCGGATCAGAAAACAGAAGCTGTCCTAACTCGAAGGCTTTGTTGAAGTAGAAATTTTGAATAGTCTCTAATATTCTATTTATATTAATATAATAAATAGAGAGGGGGGAGCTTATGTAGTAGCATCCAGGTCCCTCTCGCATCTTCTCTCCAGGTCTATCGCTTTCCATCCATGTCTTCTCCCTCCTGGTCGCAAATATCTTCACCAGCTGGCCCTTAAGTTTAGGGTCACCGCGCTTTAGCC